CCTCCACTCTCTTACCACTTGGAACTCGTAAACACAAGGACTTCTCTTTCATTCTCTCCCCAAGGCAGAGACGTAGTTTACAATATCCGACTGTGTGACCAGCCGAACGCTTTTCTACCATTCGGTAGAATGCGATGATTTTTAGTATCTAATTTTGCTATTTAGTTGAATTAATATATCGCGCGGGGGAAAGTTTCAATTCGTCCTCCTTCTTTATTATTATTATTGTTTTCTCTTGAGGTTTTTATAACCTATTTTCGCTTGTCTGTTGTAGTTGTTGATGTCGCCTCGCATTATTTTAGTTTTGACTGTCGTTTAGTTTGTTATTCTGTGGCCATTCTGTCCCATTGACGCGGCAGTTGTATGCAGCCTAGATCGGCGAGTTAGTTGGCACTAGAGGTAATGTTAGTTAATGTATGGTTCGTAGAATGTTTATCCCGCGTCACTGCGGCAGTCCGCCACGGCAATCGTCTACTTTTGATGGCATGTAGCGTTTGAAAATGAAAATATTTTTTAGTTGATTTGGAGTGTGGTTTAGTTTGTTGAGGCGGGGCGGCCGTGTTCTCGCACGTACCTTTAGTCGCTAGTTTGTAGTGTTGTTTTGTCGACGCCGCGGCCGTCGCTGAGCGGCCCTCGTTCACGTTTGTACGTTGTCTGTTTTTTCTATGGACGGGTGTGCTGTTCTCATTAATTTTAGATCGTAATTTTGTCGTTTGCATATCACTGCGTGCGGTCACAGCAGGGGGGGCGTCGCGGTGTCATTCTTATACATTTTTTGACGTGAAATTTGTATCTTTATAAATGAATTGTTGTTGTTGATCGATGTATCGTCCCCCACGTTACTCCCGAGTGAGTTTCGCACTTCACATGCATGTACATAGAAGTTAGATGAAACAAGTTTTTAAAAAAATCCGCAATGAGAATGTTTTTTACGATTATGTCGGTGGCGGAACAGTTAGTAAAAATTTTTTCGTCTTAGCGCCGCCCGCATCGGCCGGGCGGGTTTTGTAAATTCTTGTGCTAGAGTTTTTAGTGAAATTAAAGAATAGCAAAGAGTAGCGCAATTTAAACTAACCTAGTTGAGTCTAATAATGTACCTAATATCTTGTACCATTGCTAGGACAATATTATTGTGTTTTTTAAATTATAAAAAAATGATTGCACCGTTTTATCTTCTGGTGTTTTTTCACTGTTTGTATAATTTAAACTATATCGAAAGTTGCGGTGGATCTAAATTTATTTTTTTAAATAGTATTTTCAAAGTTCAGAGGATTCTTGTTCAGATAATACGAGTGTAAGGACATTGGAGTCTTTGCAAACAATTAGAAACTTTACCATTATTATAATACGGGACTTCATTCTAGACAAATGTAGCTATAAGGTTGAGTAAATATGAAGTCTCTTAGCAGTTATTTATACCTTTTAAAACTTGTTTGAATTTCTCCAGTGTCCGCGCATTACTTTCGTGTCTGTGCCTCAAAAACCAGAAAAAAAACTACCAAAAATTGCCACTCGTAAAATTTATTATCTATTTAGTAGAAATAATATATTTCCTCTTTAAATAAATGTTTTTTTGGTGCACAGAAACGATTATCTTTCGAGTCCATAATTATAATTTAAATTGATTTAAAATAAGATTTATATATTTTTATATGCAGTTGTTTCATTCATTGTTATATAAAATCAATTTTGTTGATACATTAATATGATACTAAACCAATTTGATTTGCCAAGCGTTACGTTTGGTGCCTTTGGGTCTAATGTGTGTTCTGTAAGCGTTCTAAGATACCTAGTGACAGCTATAGTGAGAAATAATTAAGATTAATTTTTAAGCTTTCTTTTTAGCATTAAGTACATTTTCTAAACGACTGTGTGGTGACGGTGAAGTGGAATATGGGTTTTGATGACAGTAAAAGTTGAATATTAGGCATCTTTGGTGTATTTTTAGCAGTTTGGTCCCATATTAGGGCTTCACCCTCGCCCCCATGAGCACCAATGGCACCAGACTACGTCCCGTGCCCCTTGTGTTGGACACGACACTCGCTTAGTCTTTGATTCACACCCGTGACTTACTTTACGACTATTGTGAGATATTAAAATGAATTTGAAACTTTCTCCTTGTGTTTGTATTGTAGTTTTGCTTTCTGGGGTAGTGCAATGTTTGCCTTTGTTGCGGGGGTGGTGATTGTGGCTTGCAGTTTTGCAAAAACATGCAGAATATAACAAAAAGCAAGTAATAGCTATTTGGTCCTTGAAAAAACCCTCTATTTTGCATTACAACAGCTTCATGTACAATATATGTACATTTCCCGACTAGTGTCTGTACTTATCCAATGACAAACGCCGTCAACTTTGACATTTTACTTAAAGGAGGTCCATTTTTATTCTCTTTGGTGAAAGGAGGTTCTAATCAAATTCTAACTGCAAAGCACAGTGTCCACTACCCAACCAAGAACGTTGACAAAAGGCGGATCTCTTGAAGCAATGACTGTGGCACCTGGCTACTATAGACTTATACATAGAATTCACACACATGTACACGAAGGACATCTGTCGCGTGACATGGCGCGTCATAACACTTCATACGGTGTTGCAAGTACACGCACACATAAATACACTATGTACATTTTGGTGCTTCAATCATTTCTAAGTGACATTACGTCCGCTTTTTTTTCAACGTCCTTGTACCCAAGTATGTCACAGATTTATTTTTGTAAGTACATATTTTTTATTGACTACATCCTTCTAGTTTCGACCAAAGACAGTATGCGGCCCAAAGTTACCTACCAAAAAGACATATTTGATTCCTATTTTTTACTTAATTCCGTTGAAAGAAAATTGCTTTTTTGTAAACATTTTTTTAATCACCTGCTTGTTTTGATGTATTTTTGATGTTATTCCTATTTATTTTTTACCAATTTTTTGTATAACTTTTTTATCGATTAGTAGTTTATAATCACTAGTAGATTAGTGTTACATTTTTTCAGTATTTTTTTTTCGAGTTTTTTTTCTATTCTAGGTAATTTTACACAGATTAGTATAAGCTTTCAGCGAATATAAAGTTTTTGCACGTTGGCCGTAAAATAAGGTATATTTATGTATATTTAACTTGAAATAAATAGAAAAAAATGTAAAAAAATCTGTTTGAATATCGCAAATTAGATTCAAATTTCTAAAAAACGGAGCTTTATTGTTTTTTTTCCTTTTTTTCTATTATGTATAAATAAAATGTATTACGATTTTTATATATTTATATTTATGTAAAAACTACATAATTATTGTAGATAAGTAGTTTTGGATTTACCTGCGTTTTTCCCTTATTTTAAGAGTGATTTTTTTATTTTATTTTGTTGTTTGATAGTATTACTTAGTGTTACGTTTATTGGGGACTACGTTGAGATGAATGTGTTTTTTAATTTGACTTTTGTAAGAAAATTTATTCACGAAATTGTAATGTTCCTAACTTTATTATATTCTATGTATTTATATCATGTAAAAGTATTTCGAATGCGTATAGCGTTAAGATTATATTATGTCGATATTTGGTTTTCGGATACAATAATGATATATGTAGTTATTTATTATTATTCTATTATATAAGTACTTAATTTCGTTTTTATTATTAAATCTGTAAAAAAATCGTGTATAGATTAGTCAAAACTGGAGTCAAATTAAAGAATAATGTTTGGTGTATGCAATATTACTCTGAGTCCCCGATAGACCAGTAGGTATTGTTTAAAAACTGAAATACTTGAATTTTTATATGAATTTTATTAATATAATATGGTATTTTACTAAATATTAGTCCAATATTAAATCTTTAAATGCTTGTTTTATTTTGAAACCCTTTAGTTTTGGTTTTAGAGTGCCTAACGCTTGGAGGGAATGACGAAATCTTGCTGAAAAATTATATACATGATTATAGAGACTGGCTGTTACAATTGTAGGCAGAATAAAGTAGTGCACAGAAATTGCTTATTTCAACTGTCACACACAAAAGTAAAATTTTCATAGAAAATGGCGTACCTACCTACTTTGACTGTGTATAAAAAGATCGATCAAGAATGGTAGAAAGTGATGTACCTACCTACGTTGATGAAAGTTGTCTCTCTTATAGGCCGGGTACTTTGAACTACCTATGTCTACGTTTCTATACGACAATCAGTATAATATTCTAGGTTCAATTCCTAGATACAGGTACACTTAGTTTCACAATTTATGTCAATTCAAGCGATTTAACAACCAGCATTTGCTAAAGCATACATTACGGCTTAGAATTTCCGCTAGGGCGGGCAGAGGGAGTTATGAGTCCCATACAATCAAAATACTCCAAGCTTCGTACTATTACTAAGATATTTTCAAAAAACCTGAAATCATCAACCAACGGTTCTTTGCTCGACGAGCTGCACTTGAGACTAATCGACTACCTATCGATAAATTAGTAGGTAATTGGAAGTTCGTAAATCGAAATAATCTAAAAATACTATGCCAACGCTGTAATTAACGACTGTATTCGTTGACAGATTGGATTAAATTCACTCTTTTCACTCTTATTCGCTCATAGTTTAAGACAGTATCAACCCCTTATGAAAAACTCATAGCAATCATTCGTGTTTGAGATACTACGTGCGATATTATTAATGGAGTCGCATCACAAATCATCTGGATGACTTTAGCAAATACAGAAATAAATACATTATTGAACTACTTTTATAAAATACAATTTTAATATTTTTCATCGATTTAAGGAATAAAATTAACTTTACAGTGGCAACATTAAACTTACTACTGTCAATGTCATTATTTCATTGATTGATTAGCGTTGCGTTCCATAATCAAGATTTACCGCATAAAGGAAAGATGGCGATATAAGAAATATATTAGAGTGAAGGAGACAAGAAACAAACAAATAGTTGTATCAAAAACGTATACGGCGCACGCATTGGGGCGTGCGATATTTTTATGTTTTCATTTCGCGAATAACAAATAATATAAACACAATGAATGGAGATAAAATTCAATACTACCAAGCTCCAATAGCAGAAAACACGGCGCCAGTAGGTAAACAAGTCGTGAACCCTTACGCCATTGCTGACCCTGCGAATCAGCGCGACTTACTTAAACACAGAATCTCAGAAGAATTCTCACTATTTTGCACACTCTGCGACCTTCCATTCGTCGACAATGCTGAATTCGAACACCATAACATTGAATTACACGGGAAAAAGAAGGTACTATCCTGCAACCAATGCGACGCTACATTTCGACGGCAAGATCACTTGAAACGACATATTCAGAGTTTACACAACAGCCAGAAGTACTGCGTGTGCCCTGTATGCCGGAAAGATTGTAAACGGCAAGATATATTACTGAAACATATAAAAAGAAAACATTCAACTACTGCAGAGGTGTTTAAATGCCGAGAATGCGCTTTCGAGTGCACCACGCTTGAAGATTTGGAAAAACATGAGTTTACACATCTTGCTACCGATCGGCATCTCTGCCCTCATTGTCAAACTACGTTTAAACGTCGAGACCACATGTTAAGACATGTGAAATCGCAACATATGAAACAGATGGTGGAATGTCCAATATGTCGACAGTCCTATAAAAGAAAAGATCATGTCGTTCGTCATGTCCGTGAAAAACATAAAATGGGGTTGCTGAATGGGAAGCTAGTCAGCTCCGCTGATATTGTGTAGATGTCCACTGCTTCTTGTACTTATTGATACTAAATTTAACTAAGTTGTAAGGCTTACCCATGTAACAATTTGATGAATCATACACCGTTAGCATGACTTGAAGCCCGTTGAGTTCCCTCGTGAAATAGTTATATGAGTAAGTCATTAAACATAGTTCTATGTGTAGTTTTGTTAATATAATATCACTAAAAGAAAAAGATTACTATTCTCAGCTAAGCAAGAAGGTTATTTAGGCTATAGAAAAGTACTTTATCAACATTTTGTAAATTTTTACAGTGATATGAAACTATTACAAATTTGAGTAAGTCAGTGGCTACATGGTGGCAAGGCAGCAAAATGCCACGGCTCCCAGCTAGAAGGCCGCTTTTCAGAGGATTTCATCTGAACTCCTCTCTTTTTTATTGAGAACGGTGGCCCATATGATTTGCCACGGGCCTCGAACAGTATAATGGTGCACCTGGAGTTTCCACATTTGTATAACGGTAAAAATTTTAAATACTGCAAGAGACAGAAGTTTCTATTTCATAAATTATCTGTGTATTATGAAACTTACACTAAGTATTAGATTTGTGAAGACGAATAACTATTAATAACACCACATTCTGAGCCTTTGGATGAGGCGAGAGTGTGTCAGACTCTTATTGACTAAATAACACTCCGTTCCTACTCCAGCTTTGAGCGGGAGCCTCTGGAACCCATTAAGTTGTCCATAGCTGGGAATGTTTAATTTCTTATATAAAAACTTTAGAATTAAGTAAAGATTGTATCCTATTTTTCTGTGATTATTGATTTTATATTTATTTTGTCTAAATTTTTAAGTTAATTATTCTGCCTATTTTTACTACCTACTTAATTTTGTACTTAATAATATTTTTGCAAGATGTTTAGTTTTCTGCATACATCACACAACCAATATGTAGCACTACAAAAACAAATCAACAATCAACAGACTGCACGGTTGGTGCGGTGGCTGGGCAACCGGCTGCCGTGCAACGTGTCGCGGGTTCGATTCCCGCACGGAACAACACTTTGTGTGATCCACAAATTGTTGTTTCGGGTCTGGGTGTCATATTGTGTATGTGAACTTGTATGTTTGTAAACGCACCCACGACACAGGAGAAAATCCTAGTGTGGGGCAACGTTTAAAAAAAAAAAAAAAAAAAAAGTTGTACCAATTGTTACAGACGAGAACCGAAGCTGCGGGCATTTTGTACTGAATGTGAAATAAAATTTTAATGACATAATGTACACATTAAGTACTAACTTATTTTTTTTTATTACAAAAGGTATCGGTTCATAAAAAGCAACTTGAATATTATAAAACAGAACTTCAGAAGAAATGTTTTGTCACAAGTTTAAAAGGGTATGAGTTTTATATGAAGCATCTACAATATTGATCATGGGCGCCAGCAGTGCACCTACGACCAGCCATATAACCTCGTAGGCACACAAGACAAGTGCCGGGCGCCAGGCCATTTAGGAGCACCGCGACACGCGCGTGGCCAACTGCCCTATAATTAAAATTAAGGGCGCCTATGCGGTGCTTGGCTAGCGCGCTTTCTTGGTTTTGGGCTCGTACACAAAACTGCGATGCGATACGATGCGATTTCGTGCGACAAGGCGTCTCCCAGGGTGACTATTCCTTCGACGACCGTCAACCGTACTAAACGTATTTTAAATTGAAAACTAGGTCGTGACATGGATCGTAAAGAGAAATGTGCACTTCTGTTATTGCTTAGGAGATACAGGAAAAAGAAACAAAGAAGGTTTTGGGAAGATAAGATTTTGATGCGCGATGCTAATCAATTCGCAAGTTCTTGCGATGCGTAGAAAGAGCTCGCACATTTTTGCGAAACGACGTCGCATCGCAGTTTTGTATACGAGCCCTTAGTCCACCACTGCTTACAACACTAAACTCACATATTATTTTTATTCAGTGCTTAACTTATGGAGGTCTTAACATTATGATTGTGGGAACTCTGGCGCCGATGATAATGATAAAGCTTTGAATAATTCATTAACTACATAGTGTTGAAACATTGCTTACATTTGTTACTTTAGATACAAAAAAATAATAAAATAATGAACACTATATCGCTTTTTATTCCCTAACGGGGTAGACAGCCGTATTATCCCTAAGGCTAACTAAACGAGTGTCTAGGACGCCAGGTTACAGACGGACGACGCATGTACCCAACTGTACATAGAGACGGCTACATGGGCGCCAATGACGTTCGTTGTGCTAGCGTTGTGAGCTCTTTAGTTTTATTCTGCCTCTGTAGACACGTGAAGACTGGCTTAATCTTGGAACTTTTTCCGTGTCGTATACTTACTACCAATGCCATAATTGAGAATTTTGGAAATCATCAAGTACCTACACGTATTACAAAATATCTAAAATTAAACCTCACTACCTCGAGCGCTTACGGAGAGTAGGGAAATTTGAAGATAAATGAGAAATCAATATATTTTCCAATCTCTAACAGATCATTCGTATACGTACCTAGATCCACCATCTCAGAAACTAGAGGTTCTTTCAAAACAATAACGAAATTATCGAACGAAGGAATACTTATAAATGGGTAGGTACTTTTAATTTTTAACTAAAGGTGGTCTGCCTTTATATCTAACCCAGGAATCGAAGCCCCAAGATCTGCTACCTAAAGTTTCCGTGTGCGTCAGGATTGCTCCGCCAAGTTATCAAATCAGAAAATGGTTTCAGCCAAAAATTTGTCGATATTTGTCAAAATCGAAAGAAACAAACCCCGTATTTGTCAAAGCAGAAATAAAGAAGTTATAAGCGTTTTAAGTTGGCCGCGCAATCCTGACGTCAAGGACTGCGCGGCCACGGAGATCTCAGCAACTACTTGGGATAGAGAAATAATTCCTTTTGTCAACTCAAGTCTGTATTTGTCAAGATTTGTCGAAAAATGAATCAAAGCTCTATATCAATATTATAATTAAATATTCGCCTTCCTGATCGCTATCAACTGCCACGATAAGAACACAGTCAAAATAATATCGCCAGTTTTCTTTGATAGACTTTGATTTTGAGCTATGATTAACCTTTGCAATAAGGTCGAAATTCTAATAAAAAATTGGATCAGCTTCTGGTTAGGATAGAGAGAGGTGTACACATATACCTCTACAATGTGTAAGCGGGCGCGCAAAGCGTGCACAGCACATGGGCACATCACACGATCATGGGGGCGGAAAATCGAGCAACTCATTACCCACTATTCAAAATCATTGTCCAGACCGGAGCATAAGAAATATCATCGCCGGGAAAAAAATCTCACTCGACGCAAGCAATATTAGCATTATGACAATCTATCGTCGTTTAAGAATAAGACCATCAAAATCAAACTTGAAATCAACCGAAATTTGTTCACCGCCTGTTCCCGTTCAGCGGCGCCCCAAATTCTATAGGTACAAGTGGAAACCTACTACAGTAGGTTTCTATCAATGGTAGGACTTGTAAAATTCGAAGAATGTTACTAGTCGCCGCCCTATACTGGTTAATAGCACCCCAAATCCGATACAAGAATTCCTCTTCTTTTTTTTTAAGGTGGGAAAATAACTTCTCCCGCCTAGGTGAGGCGGGATGTGTCAGACTAAAAACCACCCCGTTCCTACTCCTGTCCTTCCGACCCGTTAAGTTATTAATAGCAACAGCATATAGGATATGTTTTACCTTGAGGACAAATATCTTTTTGAGGAGCAACTGTAATTACTAACATATTATCAGCTATTCCTTCATTAGGAGTAATGTTCGTAAATTGATTCTGAGGAGGATTTGCTATTGATAATGCTACTTTAACTCGTTTTTACACTTTTCACTTTTTATTACCATTATTTTATTAATAATTATTCTTCATTAGATGACTGAAGGCAAGTACTGGTCTCTTAAACCATTTTATAGTAAATTAGCAATTACTTCTAATGAAAATAATTAAAAAAAATAACCTAATTATGTCCTCCACGTCTCCATATACATCACCTCTATGGGGTCCCATCTATGGTGGTCTGATGGCTCATTGAGGCGCGCGCGGAACGCGACGCGCCGTACGCTCGGGTCTGTTTCTGGTCGGACGCCGAGCCACCCATGCTTGCCGTCCGCAGGCCCGCGCTTACGGTGGCCGGAGATCGTCCCCCGATCCCTGGCCCCCTAAGTGTCCTTCGCGACGGCTGGATTGTGAGAAGGCAGTCGTCGCCGATCACATACGTGAAGGCACGGCAAGGTACCCCTACCGTGTGTTCCACCGTGTCCTCAGGTTGGTCCACGCAGTGATGACACCCGGGCCTTTTCTCTCGCCCTATCAGACACAGGCAGCTCCGAAGTTCCCATGTCCGGTGAGGCGCGGCAGCGGAGTTTCGCCCCGGCGACGTGCCTCCGCGCGAAGATAGAACACGCGCGCGAGAACCATCGCCTCCAGATCCCACGACGGTAATCCGGCAAGGAGGTTTTTTTATAGTTGATGGGCCGAACCACTATTTCGCCTGTTGGTAAGCGATAATGCGGTCTACGATGGAGCACTGGTTCGTCGCCTCCCCGAAGATCGTGTGGTCGTGATGTCTCTACTGACTTTTGACTTTTGGTATCTTATAAAAAGTACAATAATATAATAACTTAAAACTAATTCATCGGCCGTCCATCTTCTCACAAAATCTTACACATTCACGACATACATCCTTCCATCTCGCTGCGAACAAATCACACTCTGGTGCGGATGCCAGGAAAGCATTGATCATCGTTAATGCTCGAACAAGCGGAGAATTTGCATGCGCGACTGTTCGCGTTACTGGGACAGCCAGTAAGGGGTGCCTACGTGGCCTAAGCTGATGCGAAATGAATCATCTGGTTATTCCTCAATCGAAGCAAACACGCTGTCGTCAATGTCACAAAAAATGTTTGACACGTTGCAAGAAATGTGATGTTGGAGTGTGTGTCAAGTGTTTTGAAACATATCATTCATAAATAGTGTTAATCTAGTAAATTA